TGAGAGAGACTATATCCTGTGCAAAGTGCTCTAGGATGATCCTGCCTGGGGAGGTTGGAGCAGATGAGCTGCTGTGGTCCCTTCCAAGTGCAATTCTGTGATTTATGTGCTAAGGAATTGCCATATTTCTTCTGTGAGGAAGCTTGAACTGCTGCTGTGCCTATTCCCTAGGCCCTGCAGGCGGCTTTGTTTCTGCTCAAACCATCAGAGAAAGCAAATCTTTTAAGTGCTTATAATAATTAAAATTCAAGCCAGCAGCTGAGTGCAGATGAAGATGCAAATGTTTTCTCCCTTCAGTCTTGCACCACAGGCAGTGCTCTAGTGTTTACTGACCTGTAATCTTGCTAGGCTCCTGTCAGTCAGGTTTACTAACCCTCCCCCTTGCGATAATGTGAACATTTAAAAGGAGCAGCTTACTATACTACAGCTTCATTTGTAAAACTCTCTGCAGGCAGCATGAGCAGGAATTCTGCCCATGTCATTGTCTGTATGCACAAGCTTATTGAGATGGGAAAAAAGGCCTTGGGACTTTGGGGAGAGGGCAAGTGCATTTATCTTCTCAGTACATTGCATAGTGGAGCTGGCCTGCCTTCTTGACACTAGAGACCTGTACCAAAATATTCATGCAGCAAGAGCCTTTTGTGTTTTGAATGAGAGACAGGGATAGTTCAGAGGGTAGGGGCAGTAGCTTCCTGGTAGTATGGATCCCCAGCTTTGATGCAGAATGAAACTGAGTTAGGTATGCAGATACATTCCTAGGGGGCCAAAGAATTTCAGTCTCTGTTTCAGCTTCTCCAAAATTAGTCCATCCCATGCCTGGGTACCAACAGAGCTGTATGTTTCCAGAGATCTTTGCTCCTTATAACATGCTGTACCCAGACTGCCTTCTCAGAAACAGCAGAATGATTTTGCTGAATCTTAAACTATGAACTTGCAGTACTCTGTTTCTACAGAAATGTAAGAAAATAAGAAGGGAACATAGCTATATGAATAGCTATTCATATATTTGTGTGTGTCTGTATATGTATGTAACATAATGTAGGTGTATATATAATATTACAAATATTATATATAATTCCTGAGTGTTTCTGCCAACTTTGGCTGTAATTCTGCATTCTGGGCATAGATAAGTGAATTTTTCAGCAGGTGTAGTGCTCTAGCAATGGATTTTGTCCTTTAGCATCATTAGGTGGTATAATATACCAGTCTGGTGGCAAATCTCAGAAAAAAAAACTTAAAAGGGGGAACATTTTGACTTACTCTTCACAGCTCCTAGTTACAATTCTTACTACTTGGTGATTCTCCTGTGTGAAGGAAATACTTTGTCTGTTATATTCAGTAGATTGCTGGTAGAAAACCATGATCTAGACACATTGTAGAAAAGTTTGGATATTATGCATTTAAATGAAAAGGAAGTTGAAGGCAGTCTTATTTTTTGTCTTCCTTCCAGCTTTTGCTCTTATCTGACCCAGTGTAGTAATGGTAATATTTAACAATATTTTAGTGTATTTCAGAAATGTATGTGAATTAAAACACCAAATAGCTCAATAAGCATGATCTAGAACTGGTTATCAAGTTCTAGATAATATCCAGGAAATACGATGCAATGCCTTCCACACAGGTGTTGTTCCTAAAATGTGCCTAAGCAATGAAAATTAACCAGAAGATCAGAGACTGGCTTCTTTCTTAAATCTTTAAAAGATCTAAAGGGGATAACCTTTCTTTTTTTTTTTTTTAATTTTATTGCCTATTTGAGAATTTCACACAAAAGTAATATTTCAGAATGCTGTGAAACACATGTAAGCTACAGTTACAGTTGTCATTGCTGAGTTTGTGCTGATATTCTTAGGAAAAGGTTTTTTGCTGAGTAGAATGGAAAGAATTCTTGACTTGTGGAAATTGTACATTTAGGATCATGTTGATGTTTACTAGAATGATTGGATGCTGTATAATTGGCTGAAAAGATTATGTTTCCACTTTCTTGGTAATTTTTTGAGTTTGGCAAAATATTTTCTATTGCTTTTTAAAAATTATGTATTATTTTGTTAATATTAGAGTGTGAATTTGCTTCTATTTAATGTTTAGACTTATTTTGAGAGATCAGAAATGATAATAAGGCAAAACAAGTTTATCACTTTAAAACATTTGCTTGTGTGCATGTTGAAAATGTGATGTTCTTCTTAACAGGTTTGAAACCAGGGCAACGCAAGGTTCTGTTCACTTGCTTTAAGAGAAATGACAAACGTGAAGTAAAGGTTGCTCAGCTGGCTGGTTCTGTGGCTGAAATGTCAGCTTATCACCATGGGGAGGTGAGTATGGAGGGTGGTGAAGTTGTGAGAATTTTAAGCCTATATAAAATATTAGAGAAATTTTTGTGGTATTAAAATTGCAAACATTCACTATAAGGCTACTCATCACAGATGTACCTTTAAAGAAAATGAACCGAAGAGTATGTAGCTTAATAAGAGTGTATTTCCTGTCTTTCCAAGTGTTTGTTACTTCAACAAGTAACTTTGCAGTGTTACTCCAAATATGTTGTGGATTGTGGCAAAATAGTAGATAAGTACCTAGGCAGCTTCTAGATTCTCAGATCATGGGAATATAGGAATTACGTACTAGGACAATTTTTGTCTGAAACAAGAAATACTGTATTTTAAGGAAAGAAGCAGAGACACTGTTGTTCAAAAACTTTATACAGTGTCAGAACAAAGGATATTTCTAGCTCCTGTTTTGTTTATATTTAGCTGAAATATTAGCAAATATTAACAGTGCCTCCATCCCTTCTCTTCTCCCTTTAGAAGCAATGGGTAGTGGTTTGTGTATGTAAGTGTGATCAGTTTGTGTCCCTTTTCTTCCCCCACAGAAGTGCTTTAGAAAAAATTGAGAAGCTCAGGGATTTTCATAAGCATAGAATATCTTTTCCCAGCCACCCTTGTAATAGGTGCAACAGTCTTTTCTCAGGGAGACTGCTTTAAAAAAAAATTAATTCAGGTTAGTCACACAATTTTGGGGCATTAAAAATAGATTTTACTGCCTGATTGGGTTAGACTGTCTCATACCTATTACTATGAATATGTATTTTCTTGCAGCAAGCATTAATGATGACTATCGTCAACTTGGCTCAGAACTTTGTGGGAAGTAACAATGTGAATCTGCTACAACCTATTGGCCAGTTTGGCACCAGGCTTCATGGTGGAAAGGATGCTGCCAGCCCTCGCTATATTTTCACCATGTTAAGGTGAACACAACTGTAAAGCTTAATGCATATTTTTAAATAGCCTTGTTATCAAACTCATCCTTAGACAACACTTCAATTTTTTTCTTTTCTTTTTCTTATCTTTTTTTTGTGTTGGGTGGAGAGAAATGGAGATGTATTGAAATCTTGTGATAGAGGTTCATATTTTGCTTTGGATCTCCAAGTGTGGGTGTGAACATCCCTAGCATTTGCAGAGACTGCTACTCATACAGTTAAGCAAGGAAATTCTGGATAATATAATAATTCAAGGAAATGTTTGGGCCCTGTGTTGCTTTATTACTGGGTGCCCCAGTGTCACATCGAGCTGTGTGTTTTGAAAGCTTCAAAGAGTATTTTTTGGATGTTAAATGTCACCAGTTGCTGTACCAGGTGTACCAGGTATATGAGTTGTGAAGGAAGCAAAAATCATCTATTATGAACACACTCTTCTACTGGGAAGACCTTCATTATCTGAGGAGACGTGTATGTTGGATTTTCAGCTTCAGAATGGCAAAGAGAAAGGAAGACATGAGAAAAATCTACAAATTGATCATATCTGGGCCCAAGGACTATTAAAGCAAAATGTTCTTTACTTGCTGGAGTTGAGATTAAATGGTTTTCTTTTTTTTTCTTTTCAAAGCCCTTTAGCAAGGCTACTTTTTCCATCGGTGGATGACAACTTGCTAAAATTTCTGTATGATGACAACCAACGTGTGGAGCCTGAGTGGTATATTCCCATCATTCCCATGGTCTTAGTAAATGGAGCTGAAGGAATTGGTACTGGATGGGCATGCAAACTTCCCAACTATGATACCAGAGAGATTGTAAACAATGTCAGACGAATGCTGGATGGCCTAGATCCCCACCCAATGGTAAAAATAATAGTATATGTTGATATTTTCTATGTTTGTACTTATGAAATTAATTCCCATCTCTTTAGAACTTCTTGATTATTGGAACATCTGAGTTGGTTTGTCCCATTAATTTTATGTAGAAGCTTTACTTGGCTGTTGGGATGAGGCTGGGGAAGTTTACCTGGAAGCAAAAACATTGCTATTTGTATTTTTTGCAGTTATTTTAAAGGACTCTTTGTTCAGTCTGCTGACTGTTACAAGTCTTACAGGGTAGTTGTGACAAGGCAGTATAGTAAGAAGTTGTATCACTCTCTTTTTGAAGATGCTTATGTGTCTTCAGCTAAACTTAGCATTTCTTCTCTCTTGTCTGAATTGTTTCATTTTATACATCTGTAAGCAGAGGGGAAGATAATGTTGCTGTTCAAGAAAATCAGCAGCCTCTAAACTGTATTTAGGTTCTGTTTATTCAAAATTTTAGAAATCATCCCAGAAGTGGAGTGAAACAGATTGGGCAGGAAGAATCCCTGTGTGAACCCATAATATCTGTGACCAAGAGATGAAATTCAGTTGATGTAACCTTAATTTTACAACTGATAAATATTGCTCTTTGGCTGTGTTTACCAAGTCATAAAAGCAGAAACATTTTTTCTTCTCTATTTGGATCACAGTTCACTGAGTGTGCACTGTCAGTTTTCATGACATAGTGACTTTCCTTTGGCAAATTCTTGGGAACAATCAGTTGTGTTTTTTTTTTTATAAGTTAATGCAATCAATTGCCATTCCTTTAGGACTCCTAGGCCTTCTGTGTAGTCTCACAGTCAATTGAAGCTCCCTGGTTGAAAGAGGCAATTCTGCCTCCGTCTACCTCATTTACGTGTGTTGGTATGTGCTTGTGTCCTCATGGTAATCTGGATAAGGAAATCGATCCTGTTAAAAATAATTCCTCAGCCTGTTAGGTATGGTTTAGCCTGGATGGGTTCCACTGTCTTTGCCAAACAGCACAACAATGGAAAAAAATTATTAAGGGAGGTAGCCCCACTTCAGTAAAGTTATTGTGAGACTGGGGTGTTAATCTGTTTTCTGTCATGCTTTGTGCCTAGAGTTTTCAAAACAGAGGAAAAAAAAAACCCAAAAGAATCAAAACAAAACTCCAGTACCTCACTGGGTTCAGCTGCATCTTCTTAACTATTTTTCTACTGTATGGGCAGTAGGATACTTAGTCCTGTCACTTGCATGTGTGTATTCTGTTTTTTTTTCTGTGGTATTTTTCCTACGACTTCAGATTTTCACAGGCATGAGAGTTTTATCGATGGTTAGTGCAATATACAGTGATAACTGTATGGAGTATGGGAAAAAAATATTTTCCTGACATTTACCATTACCACTTTGTTGGTTATTCCAATTTCAGCTCCCAAACTACAAAAACTTCAAAGGAACTATCCAGGAACTTGGTCAAAATCAGTATGTAGTGAGTGGTGAAATATTTGTGGTGGACAGGAACACAGTTGAGATTACAGAGCTTCCTGTAAGGACATGGACCCAGGTAAGGAAAAGTGAAATACATTTTAATGTAAACAAAACAAACAAAAAAAAATCCTTGTTAAATTATTTAATCCTTCATCTGCATGAATTTCTAACACAATTTCTGGTTATATGTGCATGGAAGGGAATATGGTTTCATTCTTCTGCTTGCTTTTGTAGAAAATGGTTTTCTATTTGTGTCATCACCTGTCCATATTAGAAAGAAAACCTGCTACTCCTGCTGAATTCAGAGTTAATCCACTTTACAGTAGCCTTTTCTGTCCTAGTTAGATGCCTCTTATATTTGTGCTAGTCTTGCCCTGCATTTTGCAGGTTATACTGGTTCTGTAAATTATAACTAGTATCAGATGTAATGCACAGAGCTTTGAAAGTTGGTGTTGTGCAATTGGTTTTTRGTTTTAAGGCATTTCAAGTGTTTCWGGTTTATGCTGCCCTATTTTTAACAGGTGTACAAAGAACAGGTTCTAGAACCTATGTTGAATGGGACTGAAAAAACTCCAGCATTAATTTCTGACTACAAGGAATACCACACTGATACAACTGTGAAATTTGTTGTGAAGATGACAGAAGAAAAACTTGCACAGGCAGAAGCTGCTGGATTGCACAAAGTCTTTAAGCTTCAAACAAGTCTTACTTGTAATTCTATGGTAACTTTTTCATGTTTGGCTATCAGAATCCCTACTGTTGCTTGTTGTAAACTCAAATGTTTTTTGTAGTATAGTTTGGTTCTTGTTATTGAACAGCGCCTTGTGTCTTTGAAATTGTTTAAATAGTAGAAAACTGTTATGTTGACCAATATTAAGTCAATGTGAATGAGCAAATCCATTTTAGTCCTGATGAGTCTTTCAAATAAGATAGGCCTGGGGTGGTCGCTTTCCTATAATTGAAAATTTCCTGTGCAGCTAACCAAAAGGTTAATATAAAGTAGATCATACAAATAACTTTCTGCCACATTATGATTAGATTTGAGTTTTAAACTTGAGACAAGTTACTTTTTCAAAAYTGCACTTTCTGCAGGACTATTGCTYCTCTAATAGGAGTTAAATGATCCAATGTTTCCACCAGCATAAATCCAGTTTTAGGTGGTAAAGTACAGCAAACCCTGTACTTAAGCTACTGAAGATGTAATAGTGCTGCAAATTGCTAAGAATATGAATAAATATTCTATTCCATCTGTTCTGAGGGGGATTTGAATGTAAGTTAATTTTGGCCAGAAGATTTCCAAACATCCTGTCTTTACAGATATTGGAAAAACAGGGGTTTTTTTTATGGCAGATGCTACTTTCAGATATTATCACAAAACACAAATATCATTAATGTTGCTATTGTTGTGTACATCAAAAGCTGTGTGAAAATAGGTTAACAGTAAGTTAAAGACCAAAAAATTGTAAGAGGAAACAGACCTTGCTCAACTAATTTTGTAGATTGTTCTTGAAAAGCAAATCTACCAAATCAGGATGATGGTGTTTTTCACACATTTAAGCAATTGCAGGAGCTACTGTGAGTATCTGTTGTCAGTTTTACGTTTCACAGATTACAAAATGTTTTGCAGTTGAATCCTGCTTTTCTGTCTGCTGAAATAAATCATAAGGGCTGCTTTCTGTACCTGTGTGGGAATTAATCTGCCCTAGAGTAAGCACCTTAAAAAGTTATGTGAACTGGCCATTGTCCCCCAACTCCCTAACAGATATTTTGGATGGGTGAATTACCCCCTAGAGGGGTTTATTTCTTTCAGTTGACCATGGAGGGCACCAAGGGTGACTAGTTCACCTATAAATGTCTAAACTGGAGATGTCAGAAGCCAGGCAGGATTGATTCCACCTATCAAGTAAAAATGATTTCTTACTTTTGCTTGAACTTGAAGGATGGTAGTTTTCACAGCTGAAAAGTGACAGATTTCACGGCTGAATTGAAAGATTATTAAGGATTATTAAGCTTTTCAACTGTTACATTAAATAATTGTGAATCATTAGTTGCTACTGAACTTGAGCTTTAATATGTAGATAAAATCAGTCGTTCAAGTGAATTCAGGCATATTTCTCTATATAGCTATCTTTTTGTTTGAATGTGCTACCGTAAATCTCATCCTAAATCTACTTATGAATAAAAATTGAGTCATCCAGCTCTGTGCTGTGCAGCTCCACAGTGAGGTTTGAATCCACACCCCTCAAAATGCCACTTTTTGTACAGTGCATTTGTATGTGCAGTAGAAACAAACACTCACACAAAGACTAACAAAGTTTGAGTTCTGCAGCCTCTCTCAAAGTATTCAATGTATTTTATAGGTGCTGTTTGATCACATGGGGTGCTTAAAGAAGTATGAAACCGTGCAGGACATCCTGAAGGAGTTCTTTGATCTGCGGTTGCATTACTACAGCCTGCGCAAGGAGTGGCTCGTGGGAATGCTGGGTGCAGAGTCCACCAAGCTCAACAACCAGGCTCGCTTCATCCTGGAGAAGATACAAGGAAAAATTACCATTGGTGAGTAAATACAAGTTAGAATTGCTAACAGTCTGTAAATTATTCAAGTATGGTAGACAATACTTGCATGCAAGGAATTTATTCTCATTACATTGATTTTCCTTCTTTTTTTTTTCCCCTGCTCTGTGTTTTCATGTGTCTTGTAGAGAACAGATCAAAAAGAGATTTGATTCAGATGTTGGTCCAGAGAGGTTATGAATCTGATCCAGTAAAAGCCTGGAAAGAAGCACAGGAAAAGGTAATAATCTAGATATAGTTGGTGTTGTTACAGTTATCAATGACACTACTTATTTTCTGATAGTCTAAATTTATAACACACACAGCACTTTAAAAACATTATTCATTACTTCTTATTGGCTTCCATAAAAAAAAAATAAACTTACACAAAAATATAGTCACATAATATTGGTATTGTATGTGGATAATTTTAGAAGAAAACTAGACAATACAAGTCTGAAAAATGAGATTGCAGGGGACTGGATTTCATAATGTACCCAAATAAAAACTGGCAACTTGATTTCTGATTGGCTGATACAGGAAATGCTGCATCAGTTACCCCAGACATACAACTAATTACTAAATGTAATTATTTCTATATAATTTACTGTTTTTTCTGTAAAGAAACATGGATATTATACAGCTATGACTTTTAAATTAATTTTTGGAAATTTGACCTTGACCTTGACCTATATTTATTTCTGCATTTTTTAAAACTGAGCAGTTTTTATTGTTCCGAAAAAGAGATGTGACAAGTTTAACTTCAAAATTACATCCCCATTACTATGGGAAGATGGAACTGTGTTGAAAAGCAGCTTCAGATTTCAGTCAGCCATCCCTTTTCTGTGTCTATGTCCTTGCTTTAGATATTTGTTTTCTTTTCACATGTTTTGTATTTTCAATACTGTATTTTAACTCTATGCAATGAGTTGTATTTTATAACAAGGCTATTATTATGAGAAATTTTGATTTATTTCCAAACCTCAGTTTGTATGATTGGGGCTTTGATGCCAGCTCTTACCAAAGGACTGTGCTCATTTTCTAAAGGAGCAGGAATGAATGTCCAAAGGGCAAAGGTCCCAGCCCTGTGACACAGGTGGGACAGCATCAATATCTGCAGCCAGCAGCACATGGGGCATGTGGCTCTAGCACCAGGGTCCATTTGTTTTCTTACATCAAAATGATTAAATAATCCAGCTGTAGAAGGTCACAGGAACACGGCCTTTTGGAAAGGTCCAAAAATGCTCAGGTTATTGAATCTGTGAGGGCACATCTTACTGCTCTGTGATGGTGCTGTGGAGCAGAGTTACAGTGCACAGAGCACTGTAACTTTTAATTAAAGATCACTGACACTTTTCCTTGTGAATGTTTCGCCTCAGGCGGCAGAAGAGGAGGACTCACAGAATGCAAATGACGACGCTTCCTCTGCTTCTGGGGCAACCTCTGGCCCTGACTTCAACTACATCTTAAACATGTCCCTGTGGTCACTGACAAAAGAGAAAGTGGAAGAGTTGATTAAGCAGAGAGATTCCAAGGTTGGTCACCATGGAAGGCTTGTYCTGAAATGATACAGTAATGGATGCTGTGCCTAATGGGAATGCTCAGTTTTCAATGGCATTTGCTGTACTTGTAACTCACATTCTCTATGCCAATTTGATGTTCTAGGAGAGAGAACTAAATGACCTTAAAAGGAAATCTCCTTCAGATCTCTGGAAAGAAGATCTAGCGGCCTTTGTTGAAGAGCTTGAAGTATGTTTTACTTTACATATGTTTCTAAAACAATGAAATTCAATGGAAATCAAAAAATGAAATCCAATTTAATGAAATTAATTTCACTAAAAGAACTAACTAATAAAATTATTAAAATTTAAGAAAAATAATTTTAAAATGCTACATTTGAATCAAAATAATTTCGAAATACAATGGTAACTGCGAAAGCAATATTGGATATTTGTGTTCCTGGTAGTGTTTCGCAGGGGTTGTCTCTTGCATCTATCCAGTTTAATGTTTTTTTCCAAGACAGTGATGTTAAAAGAAAAATCACCAGGAGAGAGTTTGTTCTCAAGTGACAAAAACCTGGGAGTAGTAACTGGTAATGGTAATAATTAGTGTGTAGATCATAAATACTGTATGAGGGGACCTTAGTTTGTCTCATCAGTAATTTTGAAAAAAGATAAAGTGCTATTGGTGAAGAACATGCTGAACCTCAGTTTTCCATGTTGTCTGAAAAGGGCTGGTGCAATCTTTTGAAGTGACACACTTCAAATGCTAAAATAATGGAGGTTTACAACAGTACCAGACCTATTTTTGCAAAGTAGAAACTTGATAGGAGAAAAATTTTTCAGTCTAACAGTGTTCAAAAGCTTGTGTTTATTTATCCTTGAATAGAAGTGTCATTCTTAACTCTACCAGGTAATGAATTTACCAAGATTAAGTGGTCAGTGTTCCAGAACTGAAAAGTGTGTTCCAATTCAAGTGAGAACTAAAAGGGGAGCCTTACACTCTATGTAAAAAAAAGGGCTGAATCTTAAATAATCATCACTTTGTCCTCATTAAAAAATAATGTGTTTCCCCCTCCTGCCTCCCCTTGTTTGTTAGAAAGTAGAAGCACAGGAGAGGGAAGATGTTCTGGCTGGCATGGTTGGCAAACCAATAAAAGGCAAAGTTGGTAAACCCAAGATGAAGAAACTCCAGCTGGAAGAGACCATGCCATCACCATTTGGCAGAAGAATAGTCCCACAGATTACATCTGCCATGAAAGCTGATGCCAGCAGGAAACTGCTGAAAAAGAAAAAGGTAAACCAAAATGACTGCTACAGTTAAATTATTTATTATTTAGCTGGGGTATTTTAATGCTCCTGTAGCATAAATCCAAATCACCAGATCATCATGGGTGCTGTATTTGTGCTGTTTTGCTGACCTAATGCATAGAAATTTGGACCGGATTTCTTTCACATTTGCAAGCCTCTTGTGGCTGCTTATTGTTCAGGTGTTTTTATTGAGATAATTCTTTCCAAGACTATTCAACAAATGTCAGTATATTAGTCTACATTCGTTAATTACTGTCTACAAAACTATTGGGGTTCAATCATGAGATGCAAAGGTGTAATTTATTTTATTTTGTAATTTTAGGGTGAAACTGATTCTCTAGCAATAAAAATGGAATTTGATGAAGAGTTTGGTGGTGTGCCAGCTGAGGGTGGTGGGGATGACTCGCTGAATGCATCAGCTGCAGCAGCTAAAACCCCTAAACCTAAGAGAGAGAAGAAGGAGCCTGGTAAGATCCTTGCATAGCCATAATTAACCTTAGTTGTGTACACTTATTGAGCATAAAATGCATTTTAAATACAGAGTGAGAAGGGAAATACAGCGCAATAATCACTATTTCATCTGTTTTTCTTCCCTAAAATGAGGTGTGGAAGTATTTGAAAACACTCTGCTGAAATTTCTTTGTGTAAGAGGCTTTCCTTAGGCTGGTGTATTTTCTATATTCGATTTTTTTTTTTGGGGGGGGTGGGCTAAATCTTAGAATTTGTGAATAGAAAAATTGTTATTTTTACATAATGAAACTAATTCTGTGCAAGCAGAAATGTCTCTCAGAAATGCWCTCTGACATTGAAGGACAGGGCACTCACCTTCAGCCCCTCAGTCTGAGTAATGGTATAGATTGTAGAATGTGATTAAATAAATGTATTGACATATTCAGTCATTGTAACTTTTAAAAAGTTATGGGTACCACGGCTTGGCAGATGACCAACGTTCACTTTCCCATTTCCTCTGCAGGTGGGAATTTRTTATTGCTGTTTGAGAAATACATAGTAACAGGGAGGCAGCAGCACAAAGGGAAAGCTAGAGACAGAAGAGAAGGTTTCAGGGGTTTTATTTTTTTTTAAAGAGGAGTAAAGTGTGATTACACAAATAATTCTTCTGAGGTAAGATYTGGTTCTAATTGTTCAGGGGATTATCCAGCCTGGATAGATTAACTGAGTGCAGTTATGACTGACTTGTCTACGTGCAGCTCAAATCTCCCCCAGCCAACGTTGAGCTGGAGCAAATTAGCCCAGCCTGACCTGAGTTTGCCCTACAATKGACTGACCACATTTTTTACCCCCCCACAATAGGATATCCTTTGCTTCCCATGTTTGTTGTGTTTTTTCCAATAATTGTTTCTGATCACGTTCCCTGAATAACGGAAAACTGCGGATTCTTTTCCTGGAAAACTAGTAGCCTTTAAAGAAATGCAAGYTTGATGGCAAAGGAGATAAAACCTCAAATTAGAGACTTTATGTCTTTCAGTCCTGAAACAAATTTCTTTGGCAGCAGCCAGTCAGGTTCTGTGTGAAATAATTTCATGTTMAATCTTCCTTCAGGGAGAAGAAGRAAATTTACAATKTTTAAAGGAGAACTTTTTAAAAATTAAATTTATGCTAAATTTGTGCATCATAAACAATTAGAAACAATGAAAATATGTTTTACCCTGTCTGTAGTAAATGCTTTTACTTTTGGCAGGTGCTAGGGTAAGAAGAACACCATCCTCTACAAAACCCAGTGCAAAAAAAGTGAAGAAACGAAACCCATGGTCAGATGATGAATCCAAGTCTGAAAGTGATTTAGAAGAGAATGAGCCCGTGATTATTCCRAGAGATTCTCTGCTTAGGAGAGCTGCAGGTACCCAAGATTTTGTGAATTGTGTGTTGTGACTGAAAGTTTCAACTGTAAACCTACATTTTCCTTTGACCATAGCTTTCCTTTAGGACTTTATTTCCTACAGATAGCTTGCATTACATTTTCTTTACTGTGCAGTTATTGAAAATACTCTTAATGTCAAGAACAGGAACTTAAAGGCTGATTTGAAAGATTTCATAACTTATACCAGAATTTTTTTTTCCCTGTTCTAAATACTAGGTAGAAATTACTTACCAAACTAGTGAATTATGCAAGAAACAGACAAGATAATATTATTAAAAACAAAAAAAATTACTCTAATGTAATTCTGCTGTCAAAACAGCAAATAAAAAAATTGTCAAAAAAAAATCTGAACACTTCACAAGCACCAAGACTGAAAGTTTGGAAAATGTATAAACATTTTATGGTTTAAAAAAGCCCCCASAGTATTTCTGGAAAATTAAGAAGAATGTTCCTAATTTTGGTCAATTCAGGGAAACCTCAATTTGAGRTGAAGCATTCTCATTACTGAAAAGTATTGGTGCCTATTGTCTCCATAATGCCCTTAGCTGAAGGTGTCTGATCAGGCCACAAGAGGTGTTGGATGTCTGCGAACATCTAAATTATTCTTTATTCTTTTCAGCCCTTTATTCTTTGTTTATTTGTTTTGTTTCAAGCTGAAGCAGATTTGTTGTCCACCAGTCTTTTGTCTTGTGTACTGACTTCCAATTTGATTTATTCAAGTATCTGTTATGTAACATAAACAACTGTTCTGAAAYGTGTGCCTGTGTGATTTTCTCAGCTGAGAGGCCCAAGTACACTTTTGACTTCTCRGAAGAAGAAGATGATGCAGATGATGATGATGATGCCAACAATAACAACGATTTGGATGAGCTCAAAGTAAAAGCCTCTCCTGTTACCAATGACAGAGAGGATGAGTTTGTTCCCTCAGACAGTTTAGAAAAAGATGAGTATGACTTCTCCCCAGCCAAATCAAAGCCATCTCCAGAGTAAGTGCTGTAACTCAGCAGGGTTCCTTCATTAATAATTTTTTCAATGCAGAAAATGTCTGAACAAAACTGAAAAATAATCTACTCTACATATACCGTGAAAAATAAAATGTGGAGGAATTAAGGCGTATGTTATCCTAGCCTTGCAGCTGACTTATGCAGGGGTGACTCGTGATTTAAAAAAATAATATAATAATATATAAAAATAGTTACTATGCACTGTCTGTAATGTCATCTGTTAAACTACTTTTTTAAAGAGTCTTTATTTTCTGTCTTGTGCAGTCTAGTACAGAGAACTGTTGCAAAAAATGTAATTCTGTTTATTTTAAATGCCTGAAATACTTGACTGGATGTCAGTTTTAGGGGTTTGACTGCTGCAAGCAGATTTAAAAATGCTGGAATCATCAAAATAGAATTTAGATCTTATGGATATTATGATGTCCATATACTTCAGTATGTACTAAATGTAACTCAAATAATTCCCTTTTTTTGTTTGTAAGCAGAAAAACATCTCAAGCCAAGAAAAATCAAGATTTTGGGAACATCTTCTCTTTTCCATCTTACTCACAGAAGACGGATGATGGTGAGCTTGTTTTCACAGTTCTGTTTAATTTTTGTAGCAACTATTAATGGAATATATTAGGGAGTGGTACCCAGAAATGTCACACAGTAGTAGTTATAGGAGAAGGATGTCCACATTTATGAAGGGGAAGAGTGCAGGAAGTTCTGATCTTTAGAGGAATAAAGCTTGTATTWTAAGTGAGGAAGTCATAGTACATCCATAGCTGTGTTTTCACAAGCACTTATTTCAGATTTTTACTGTAATTAGTATTGATGTAATTCATATATGCAGTGAATGAACCTTATTCTAAACTTACTCTGTGATTGTAGATACAACAAAATTGGACAGTGATGATGAGGATTCTGCTCCTGTTTTCTCGTCATCTTTTGCCCCAAAACAAACGGAGAAAATTCCAAGTAAAACAGTAGCTGCTAAAAAGGGTATGTATAGAATTGGCCTGGAAGCCAATCCTTTTCTTTAAAAGTCTTCTTCACCTTTGCATTCTCTCTTCAGGCTTCAAAGTGGGAACTGCTTTCATTTATTTTGGACGCAATGAAATTCAGCAATAGGGTGTGAACCTTCTCCAGCTCCTTARTAATATTAATTTGTTTCTTTCCTCTGGCTACTTTGTAGTGTCAAAAGTTTAAACCTTCCACGTGGAGGTGGTGTTCGGCCTCCTGTTTAACTAATGGGAGGTTTTTAGCTTCAGGGAGTAARTAGAGTGGAACATGACACCAGGAGGTGTGGAATATCCATGACTTGGGTCAGTGGGAGGCAGCTGTCCTGAGTGTGTGCCCTCGCAGCTCCTTGTGCACCCCCAGCCCCCTTTTGGGGTGAGAAGCAGAAAAGGCCTTGATTCTGTGTCAGCAGCAGCTGTATTGTCAACACTGTCTCCAGCCCAAATACAAACCAGCCTCCTCTGAAGAAAATTAACTCTGTACCTACCAAAATTAGCACAGAAGGCTATCACTTTTTCCTCTTGAAACAGAGGATGAGAGACTCTCCTGACACTTCAGAGGTACACATTCTTTCAGTTATTAGTCAGCTTTTAGAACTGGCATCTTGCAGCATTTTTTCCGTGTGATACTGTGGTCTTTGCTTTTTAAAACTTCTTTCAACCAACTTGCAGCTGAACTTAAAATATTAATTCTTGTGAAAAAAGGTACCTCAAGGAAATTTTGCAAGTGAGCAGCCAATTGCWCTAGTTAATTTACTCTCTTAAAAATGAGAAAGAAAACATCTTGTGTTCTTGCACCAGTGAGCTGCAGCATCTTTTCATCCTTTCCCCCATTGCCTCTCTATTTCTAATYTATTTCTTGATGCATTGTGTCTAATCTAATTTGCTAACAGTTCAAATCAGTGAATRCCTCAATACTTCTCAAACACTTCCAGTTATTGGTACAGTTCTCTAGTACAGTAAATAAAGATGGTTTACAGAAATAGCTGATCCCTAATAGAGTAATCTTTTATATTAAAATTCTGAACTGCAGTAAATGCAAGAGAGAACTGTGTATGCTGTAGCCTGGCATGGATGCAGTTTAAAATTGTCTTTCTCCCTCTCTGTTTTTTGACCGTCTGGATGTGATGAGTTGTCATTAACCTAACTTGAAACCTTACAGTTGTGATCTGCTTCTGAGTTTCTGATTAACCTTTGCACTCTCAAAATAGATACAAGCAGGCTCTCTTTCAAGCAAGAGTTAAATTTTTGCCTTCAGAGAAGCCTTAGGTACAGTCTCCCTCTCAGGGCAGAGCACCATGACAGGTTGCTCTCACCAGTTTTCATCTCTTCTCTTCTGTCCAGATCAGACATGAGCACAGTTTCATGATCCCAGTTGGACAGTCCAGTGCTAACCCAGCAGGTTTAGTTCACTGGTCATCTGGTGTCCTTTTCATAGTCTCTTTGATTCTAAGTCCATCTTGATGGACTTGGCAGCAGCCCCTGAGACCTCATTTTCTGGTGGTGTAATATTCCATCCACTCCCCCTCACCCTGGGAGCGTTCATTGTGCGTGGCTGAAACGATTGCTCCAGGACTGTTTGATTTTCTGACTTCAGACTCCCATCAGTTTGGGATGAAATCTCTTGACCTCTGGTTATCACTGCAGAGGATCAAGAGACAGCTGAACTTTTCCATGACTGTTTGAGCTGTCTGTGGTTCTAGGGCTTTATAGCAAGCCTAAGGGAAAGCTGACAAGCAGCCTTAACTGTGACGAGAAGCAGCTCTTCACCTTGAGCAGCTCAGCTGCTGAGATTCTAGCAGTGAGAGTACTCTCTGCATCCCTGCAGGACTGAACCTGGACTTCCTACCAAAAACTTGGGCTTCTTGAGAGCCTGTGCACATTGACTGTGYTGCAGACTCTGTTTCCTGTCGTGCTACCTAGCAGAGAGCTTGGCTGAGCTGGTTTGCCATCGAGTTGCTGTCCAGAGATCCTTCACATTTGTGCAGGCATTAGGGGTGTAATTTAAGGTTGTGGTTGAGAATCCCCTTATGTTTAGTGCAGAGGGAAGTGAGTGTTCTGGACACTATTCCTTTAGCCACCAGTAACAACTGAGAGGTTTGCTGTCCCTTGCACTTGGTGTTTGCAGGCAGATATCACAAGAGTTCCCCAGTGGTAACAGGCTCTGTTTCAAGTGGAGAATAAATCCAGTGGCAGTGGCAGTGTCACCTCTCTGTCTGCATTGACTGGTACCACTCTGCATTGAGTGGTAGCAGTTCAAGGCATCATAGCCAGAAAGCTTGTGGAGATGCTCTCCCATTTTCCAAACACATTGGCCTAGTGATCCCATAAATGGAATCTGAGTTCTCACAAATGTCCCATTCCTGGGATCTGGAGTGTTTGCACCCGTGCCTGTTTGATGTATTTGTGGCCATTAGAGGGAAGGCCAGGTGTGTATCTGAGCTTTCTGCAAGACTGACTCRTCTGTAAGCCTATAGAACACATTATCTGATGATCTTAAAGGTCTTTTCAAACCTAAATAATTCTGTGGTTCTATCCCTTGACACCCACACTGTGAACATTCCAATGAACATCTTCTAAAGACAGCCAGACTGGTTGTGTAGCACTGACTGAAATTCTCTAGGAGATGCACAATGTCCCCTTGCTCTCCTTTCTGCTTTTTTTCTTAAGTTTCTTTTCACTGAGATTGACAGAAAGCAGTGCCACAGAGACACATGCATTGCCTCYCAAACTCCTGCAGTAATCCTGGGAAAAGCTGTCCTGCAGTCTTACCCTGGTGAAGGCAAAAATGTCACAAGAAGCTCTATTTTTAAACACTGTAATGTATCCAGACATATTCAAAGTATCCAACCTGGGGAACTGTTGTTGCTGCTTTAGCTACTAGTAACCTGTTTCACACTCAAAAAGATGAAACAGTTTTCACTTAAGGACGCTGGAATTTACTTGAGTGCAGAAGTCCATTTCAGAGCACATCACAGCAAACCTGTTTGTTCCACACAGTTGTTGTATAAAATCTGAATTATGTTTTCCCCAAGTGCAGAAATCACTCATCTTGTTTTAATGTCTGCCATTTATGCTGTAATTGGACTATCTAATACAACTCACTATGTCCAGCCAGTATGTGAATTTAACATATTCAGTGTCTCTTAACTTCCAACAGCAAAACTAGATGGGCCCCCTAAGCCTAAAAGAGCTCCCAAGGCCAAGAAGGTGGAAACTGTGAACTCTGATTCAGATTCAGAATTCGGCATTCCAAAGAAGACGGCAGCACCCAAAGGTAGGAGCTGCACCTGGGCTCTCTGGAGCACAGGGCTCACAATTATTAGAAAACTAATTGGAATTATTAGAATTATTAGTACATTAATCCCTGGTAGACTACTCAGCCATGAGCCTTTCCTGTGACAAATATATTGTACTGAATTCTTGGCAAACAATGTGTGAACTTTTTATCTGACCCTCACTGTTGAGAATGCATTTAATAGCTCCCACCCAACACACACCCTCTTCCATTCTACTGGATACTTCTTGTTTTCTTTCTTCAGCTTTTTCCAAACAGTAAAATTCTGGTAGTAATTGTACTAAGTTGCAATTTCTGGGTTTTTAAACATTTTCTTTGGTATCCCAGTTCTCTGAGTCCTCACAACACAGCACAGCAGTGTAACTGGAGGAGTCTGTAAAGCATGTGCCAGTGTCGATGGTTGAGGTTAACAGTGAATTTACTGAATAGTAAAGGTGAATTAATGCTGTGTAATCAGTGCAGAAGGTCAYCAAGGACTTGTAGTTCTTCAGCAGTGTAGAAGTTATCTGATCCCATGAAGTTTGTCCCTGTCTTGAGCTGACAGCTTGAGCTGACAGGGTGAATGATGATTGTGAAGATTGTGGGGAAAATAAAAAATACTGTATTGTACTGCTGTTGTGAAGAAGCTTGAGTGGTGAACTGGGTTTGAACTTAACATGTAGACATGCCAAAGTAATTTCACTAGGGGCTTTTTTCAGTTTGATGAAGTCTGGAGTTTATTTAAAAAAAAAAAAAAACCAAAACAAAGTTAACTTGTAATTTCTTACCTAGGAAAAGGCAGAGGGGCAAAGAAAAGGAAAGCATCTGGTTCAGAAAATGAAGGTGAYTACAACCCGGGGAAGAAAACACCCAAGTCCACACCAAGCAAGGTCAGKGCCAGTTGTGCTCTCTTCTCCTTGTAAAAAGAACCTCATGGATTACTTTATRTAAAAGTAAAATTCTTATCATAACATGCTAATATGCTAATGGAGGCTGAGGTGTCATCAGAAATCAGATACTAGAGAAGTTTTCTTGAATTCTGAATATTGAAATGGGAAAACATATAAACCATCACAACTAATTTGTGTTTTCTTTTCTAAAGAAATCCAAGAAGGCYGCTTTTGACCAGGATTCTGATGTGGAAATCTTCCAGTCAGGCTTTGCATCTGAAACTGCCCCAAAGCCACGGACAGGCCGGGCTAGAAAAGAAGTTAAATATTTTGCAGAGTCTGATGAAGATGATGATTTTGATATGTTTAATTAAGTGCCCAAAGAGCACAAAAATGTTTTCCAACAAGTATCTTGTGTTGTCCTTTTGTCCCCTCTGTCGCAAACTTTTGTACATTTGACTTATTTTATGTGATAATGTAATTGATGGTTTTTATTATTGTGTGTAGGCATTTTAACATTTTGTTCTTACACCTACAGTTTTATGCTCTTTTTTACTCATTGAAATGTCATGTATTTGTCTGACTGGCTTGTAGAGATGTTCTAGGCAGCTGTGCTAAAGCACATTTTAATTGTCATGGTTGCAGACAGCAAACCTGCTTTTTGAAATGAAGTTTAAACATTAAAAAATGGAAAACTACTCTGTGTGTGTATGTGTGTAAATTTGGGCTAGAGGGACTACTTCTACACAATTTTTAAAATAAATATATTTTATTCTTTGCCAGGAGACTCCATGGAAAAAGGTAAACAGTATATGAACATAGAAAGCATTGTTAAACAATCTCAATGTACAAACAGAGCCAGTGAAAGTACATCACAGACTTGCTAGAATATATAAAAAAAAAAAATTCCACTAGTGCTTTAAATGAAACCTAAGAAACTGACACTTTAAATCTGTTAACCATTCTACCACAGTTTTCACTCTGCTTCATGGTGATTTAACAAGGCCAAGAAGGCAGATTCTCTCCTTGTGTTTCTGGAARTCCTAGCTGTACTTCCCTAGCACCTGGAAGGCTGGAAAACCCAGGATTCCTGGCAGTTGGTTCTTAAGGAAATACCCTGGACTCAGCGATTCAAGAGCTGCAAGTGAGTCTGCTGGTTATCACCCCATGAAGTTTCCCTAATGGCTTGTGAACAAGTAAACAAAAACATGGTAACACTGAAAAGTGTTTCTGCCTTGGAGGCTATAGCATTGCTGTCGAAATGGAGCAGGTAATTGTGGAGCTAGGTCACCAGCCAGCTAAGAAACCACTTCTTTAAAATTTAAAGTGACATTAACAGTGGAACAAATGACATCTGAATAACTGATCTGGCAGTTAATGCTGATACCAATACCTCTTCTGCTGGGGCAGTGACGTTTTGTGTACTTTTTACAAGGAAGGAGATGCAAACTGAGGGCATCAAAGACAAGTTTTCATATTTCAACTAAATCAGACGGTCCTTTCAACTTCCTTCTCTGGATGTGTACAGTAGTCCATGTCCTATGGTTGGTGTCTTGATCGTTTTAGGTATGAGAGACAAAAGGAAAGCACCAAACATCCAGTATGGAGAGTACAGCCATACATTTGTATGTACAAAGTCATCAGAAATGCAACCAGAATTTGAAGACTGAGATCTGTCTTGTCACCATGCAATATTGAGTGTTCAGAGAAGAAAACAGAAGCTTAACTATTTTTTTTTTTTTGCATGAAATGGCTGATTCAGAGTTTCAAAAGTTTGCATTTTCTAGTTTTAAGAGTTTAAACAGCAAGGAGTATATATCGATACATATGAAAATTTCTTGGTCCTTGTTGAGTTTATCTATATATATATACATATATAGATATATATTAAGTCCAGAAACTAAGCAGCAGTAAAAATGTTTTTCTTGCTTTTCATCCCTGTACATAAGGTATTAGGAATGTCTGAAGTAGCTGGAAAATGTCTTATTCCACCATAGGGGATTGACTGACACTGCTGTTATCCACTGAACTRGGTGAGATACTGGGACTGTGTTCTGCAGTATTTCCATTTGAGGTTGGTGTCAGTGGTTCATGTCCTTCAGAGTTCTCCAACATTTCCTGAATAAGAGGTGGCATGGATCCAGGAATTTCCATTTTCAATGTAATGACACGTTCTGCACCTTTAAAAAGAAAACACAAAGTCCTTTCCATGAGCATRATTCATACCATTTCCTTTCTGTTAGCATTACAGTAGTAATCCCAGGGTCTATTTCGTTGGTGGATTTGGTGTCTCCTATACTTCTTGCACACAAAAATGTGTGAGTGATCTGCTTCATGCAGTTCAAGAAAAGGGAGTTGGGTGAGTGCTCCTTGACAACTTAATTCAAAACTATGACACAGCAACTGATACCTCAATTCAGGTAAATTGGATGAGCTGCTTATTTTCAAAGAAGGAACCAAAATGGCATTAAATKATACCAAAAAATTAAATTAGGCCGTGTTCATATAGATGTCTTTATAAACTGGAATAACATTTAGTTTTWAATCTGTACTGGATCTGCAAAGAATGACAAAAACAGGTGAGGTGAATCCTGCAAAAGAACTGCAGTGATCTAAGTTAAAATGTTTCTTTCCATAGAGAAAACTGCAAAATAAGATGCAGAATTTAACAAACAATTAATTACTTAACAAAAGAACATATTCAGGCAAAAGAMTACTTTTCTTTGGGGGGGTGGAGTTGCCTTCTGTATTCTTCAGGCATTTTGTCTTGTGCTAATGAGCCCCCAAAGTGTGCAGGARCCCCGAGCACTCTCAGCTCTGCCTGGGCTGAGGCTCTTGGTGTTGGGCTTGTCACTGGTGTGCAGAGGGGGCAGGGTTAGACAAAATTATTGCATCAATTCTGCCCACTGAGACTGGGAGCCAACAACAACTGGCTGGGAGGGAAAAAATCCCAACACAAAGTCTTGATGTGTGATCAGCAGGCAGGGACACAGCATGGACACTGGGCAGGCAGCGCTGAGGGAACTGTGCATCAAGCAATTTTATAGCCATTAACCTCAGTGTTCCTGTTGCTCAGGATTCCTGATCATCTCAAAATTTGAGTCCAATGGAATAGGAACCCGTGTTTTTTACACAAGAACAAAAAAAAATTAAAGAGAAAATAGTTTGGTTGTTGAAGAACAATTCCAGAAGCGTGACCCTTTGGAAACACTCTGCTTATCCATGTTGCTGCAGTGGACATGCTGGAGAGAGCACTGGTCACTCCAGATGGGAAGGGAGCCCTTAAATTTATGCCTTACATGAGGAGCAGAAAAAGAATAGTCTACAAAGGCAATGGTTGACTTTCCAAGTGAATGCTGATTTTAAAAGTCTCCTAAATAATTGTAATGGGCAAGGTATTAATGCAGAATGACTCTGAGAGCTTCTCTGAAAACTCTCTCTGTAGTCAGAGCTGTGCTGATGAACTGAATGTGGCCATGTTAAACATCTGCTTTCTGCTGTTATGTCTGGTGCAGTAAAGTGTTGGGTGGTCATTCAGTGCAGAGCCAGAGAAATTCTTCTGGTTTTCCCAATTTAATTGGGGGATAAGAGAACTCAGAACTTGAGAAAAACTCAGAACTGTCTTGCTTCAGTCCCACAACACCTTTTAGTTACCTCTAATGCCAAAGGAGACACTCTCAGTGTTTCAGATCTACACTTTCTTTGCTGATTGCTTTCAGGGATCAGGTACCATCCAAAGTCATTATTGTCTAATGCACACCTTTCAAATGAAACTCAAGACACATCCCCCCTCCAGGACATCACCATCCTTTGGTATGATTTAGTTCTACTATGAAACATTAATGATATAATTAAATTTCAATACTTATGTCAGAATGAAAAGAAGCCTTTCTTATGAATTGAATATTAAGAGACAAGTTTTGTTCCTGAGGGGTGGGAAGGCTCTGGTAAAGAAGCAGGGAATGGAAATGGATTTCCCAAAAGCACCAACAGTGGAAAGAAAGSGCTCCCCTAAATGCTTTTATAGCTCAATACTGCTCTAGGTTTATTTAGTAGATTCGGTTGGATGGAGCTTGCTTTACTTGAGGGCAAACTGCAAGCTTTAGATAACCTGGTAAGTGGCTCTTTTTTAGGATACTTTTGCTTCCAGCTTTGGTGTTTCCCCACCAAGTTACTTCTTTTGGTTTTAATCAATCCAATTAATAACTCCTCATAAACATAGCTATAATATTTTGTATAATTTTATAACTTGGATTGATATTGTTGAAAGTGGAACAGCGTGGGTTTAAATTTAAAACAAGAGTATTTAGTTGAGTGAATTAACTACTGGAGTTTTTTCCCCCTGAATCTTTCCCTAAACCATGTCAAATAAAACCCATAATCTTCCCAAAAGCCTAAATCCAACCTAGACAGGTACCTAACACAGGATCCTGTACATACAAGCTTGTTGCTTGCTTATCTRTCTGTTAGCAGAGAGGGGCAGCAAATCTGTTTGCTGAGCAAGCAGAAGGTGGAACTGCATCAGCCACCATAAGAATAAGAATTGTTGCACTTTGGACTCTCTGTTTTCACGCTGGCACACTGGGGAACCTTCTCTGATCCAATGAAAGCATTCAGCTAGACCTGTGCTTTAGAGAAAATATGAAACAGTGCTTAGGCTCTGTGGATTGCACAGGATCAATTCAGCACATACAAAACTACATCAAATGTTAAAACTGCTCTGTGTTTAGACATGGTTAATTTGGATTAGAGGGACTGAATCTCCAAAATGCTGGATCAAATCAGTTCTAAATCTCCAATACCTCAGTCTGCAGCTCAGGGGAATTTTGGTTGCACAAGTGTTTTCTGCAGTCTGTAACCAGACATTGTTTTYTGAAAGCCTTTGGTGATACAAAGCACGTGTTGATCTGAACGACTTGTAAATATTTACAAATGTTTCACTCGGGGTTTTAGCTTGTCCTAAAATGACTGGCAAAGGCTTCATGCTAATAATTTCCTAAGCTACTTGCACCTACAACATCTTTTTCACTGTCAGTGCATGGAGAATGGAGCACAGTGCATGTTTAAAGCAAAGCCAATATCAAGGCAGTAATTATGTAAAGAAGCTGGGAACACAAAGGTCACAAGGACCTTTCTTAGATGTGTTAAAAACCTAACAAGCCAGGTCTCTAGGCCAGTTCCTCTAAAATGCAACACTGCCACTCCTGCTGAGTTATTGGGAGACACTGTACCTTTTGCACTGATGCTACGAAGATCCGTGATTTTCATTAAGATCTTTGGGAACATATGAGGCTTGTTGGGTCGTCTCTTCCGGATATAAATTTTCAATGCTTCAAGCAAGGGTTCCTGAAGCTTATCCACTTTCATTGGTTCTTCAAGGTCCTGGCGATCTGTAGAAAAGTATCACATCACTCATATGATTTTAATTTTTTTTWAAATAAACTCCAGATMACAGAAGATCTTCCATGTCCTTGATTAGAGCTCCATGAATTTGTTTTACTTTCTTCTAAATAACTCACTAGGTAGTAAGCATTCCATAGGAAGAGGATAAACCACAGCTTTCTGAAACTTGGATTATTTTTTTTCCTTGGTGAGTGGAAAGGTTTGAGTGGTCAAGAATTACCAGTTTGTTCTTGTACCCTCCTCTCCAAGGGGAAAACACCTTCCTGAAACGCTATTTTTGAATTAATTTCGTATTGGCTCCCCAAGTACACACAGAGATTACAGCTATTTTTTGTTACCACTGCTACAGCAAAGTGAGTTACCATCRGGAATCAGCAGATGGCAGTGCTGGCCTGAGTGACAACAAATGCCACCCTTCTGCAGCAGGACGCGCCAGTCACATCTCAGTGACTGCTAGGAGCACATCAACGCTTTTAGTGSRTTAGGGTTAGAGACACATAAAATCWGAATTATTTTGTACAAATACTGRCTCCTGTTTTTCAAACATTYCCYAGTAGCCACAAACCCAGTTCAYGTTTCAACAAAATGRCCCAGCTGAACAAGGYGTRTTTCTACTGCTRATCCAGATTTTGCCAAGGAGGAGAAAGACCAAGTAATTAAACCAACAGAAATTTACASAAGATTTTGGAAATTATCTGAGACTTCACTTTATATATTTTAAACCTACGATTTTACTTGACAATTGCCTTTTTGAGTTGCCATCGCCCCAGTATGGAAGTAAATCACATTTTTTTCGCTAAACAAAGTATCACCAGTGACTTCCATGTGACTGTAACCAATGCAGATGCACACAATCACATTYATGAGTAAAAGCTGTGTAATTGGGCATCTTGCTGTAAGAAAGCTCATTCATGCAGGTGCCCACACACTCCTCAGCAAACAACACTGCAGGACCAGGTGATCTCCAGAGGTCCCTTCCAACTCCAACCACTCTGTGAGGTATCTTAWGTCATTTGCCAGGCAAACAATGAGACTGGTTGCTTGACAGAATGCTTCCATTATTTTTTTTTCAAATTATCGATAATAAAACCAGTAACTATCACCAGTGGAAAACAAACCTTTGGCATTAAGTAGTTTAYATAATCCATAAAATAATGTTACATGTATATATATATATTTAATATGTGTAAATAGAGGAAAGCAAAACAGGTAGAACATAAATGAAGATATTATTATGTCTGTTCTTTTGAAATGCATCAGAGTTCACGCTGTACGGTACCTCCACAGATTAAGCAGATGGCACTAAGGAGACCTGTTTCTGTATCATCCATTTCCAAAGGCAGGAGCTGGTTGGCAAAGGTGAACACGAGATCAGTCAGTGGGCCAAATCCGGCGTTGTGCATCTGAGTTCGGTTCAGGGTAAGGCCATCTGAAAAGGTCATGGTGTCTTGTTCCGGTGTGTATCTTGTGCAAATTCTAAGGATCTGTGGAAAAAAAGAAAAACGGAATCTGAAGAATTTAATCCATGAGACGTTTGTTGTATTTTCTTGGTGCGGGGAATGACTCCATTTGGCCACATCAGAACAATCTGAAAACAAACTCCAGTTTGTTCAGTTCTAGTAGCACAAAAATTCTCRTGTACAACATAAACATACTCTACTGGCTGTGTATTTCTTAAAACAYAAACCTAAGAACAGAAATTTCTCCCTAGTTATGAAATAATCAAAATTTAGCGCAACTCTCACCAACACCACAGTGATAGCCACAAAAACAGGTCTTTAATCAGTCTACCACCTGCACCTAAGCATAAAATGTGATTGATCTGATGAGCTGCTGATCTGATCCAACAAGATCTTAAAAGCCACTCACCTCTTTGAACACAGGCATAGCTCACTGATTTTGGGGATCAGTTTTGCATGGCAGCGCTTCCCTGGGTTTTGTTTTTGGCAAGGGCAACRTTGCTCTGCGGTATCTTGTGGGAGTGAGTGTGGGCAGTTGTGAGCTGCCAAAGAGGCAGAACTTCGGGGCACTTCCCCTCTTCTGTGAGAGCAGACAGGCAAACATTGCTATGGGGACAAAGCCCTCCATCTCCCCTGTGCTCCTGGGAGGGTCTCCCTGGAGCACTGCTTGCCTTGTCAGCCTGGGAGCTTGCACCCAGCGGAATATCCAACTTTGCACCTCCAAAAGGCAGCACACRTAACTATTGACAGCCTGGCCAGTGCCTGAGGAGCTGGCCCAGCTTTCCTTCTTTTATGACTTTTACTTCTTGGTGCTGTAACACCAAACCTCCTGAGCAGCCCGCAGGCTTCCAGCCTTGCTCCAGGCTCCGGCGCTTCCCCCTGCGGTGGCATCCCCTCCCCGCCTGGTGCAAAGCTGCTGACGGTGCCGCTCGCTCCTGCGCACACCCAGGCACTGTTGGCTTTGGCAAGTGTGCCCGTGTGCCGACAGCCACCCAGTGCTGACCCCGGATGAAAGAGCCTTCGAGGGGAGGACGGGGATTCACACCTCTAACTGGMCACGGAGGAATGCAAAACACATGAATAAAACACCGAGGATGCTCTACATTTTGTTAGAAAATGCCCCTGGGGTAACAGCAGCGGCGTCAAGAGCGCTGTCACAGCAGAGGTGGCAGCACGGCAAGAGGGAGGGAGCGTGTTTGTGAACGCTGCTGCTCTCGGAGCAAACCCAGGATGTGTCCTGTGATGGACTCTCCGTGGCACAGGATCATTTGTACAGCTGCAGTTAATGAACACGGCCTCAAGGATCAAATAAAAGAGACGTCCATCATGTTGACATATTTCTGTTATATATATCAATGGTTAATGTTTAAAATAATCAGAGGTGGGAGAGGGCTTATCCCTAAACTAAACTGAACTAAAACCCTGCCGAAGTCAGGCTGATTAGCTGAGCTAAAACTACAGCTGTGTTTTTTCAGGGCCTGACTGTATTTATTTCCCATCCTACTTGGTTTTAAAGATACAACAAAAAAGATTTACATGAATATAAGTGAGCACTGGGAGAATTTAATTGCTCCTATAGCTGCCGAGGCTCTGAGTCAGAGGCCCCAGCACTTGGCAGCTGACCAGTCTGGGCTTGATTCTCCCACTTTCATCTTTGCCTGGCAACACTGCTCCAAATAAGCAGGGAGGRGAACAAGGAGAACATGGTCTGCACGACATCCACAGGGAAGCTTTTATTTGTCTTCTTCAGTTCCTTGGTAAGAGACTTAATAARAGAGTGTATTTCTGCAGATGGATCTTCAACTATTTTCTATCTCATCAATAACCTTATCTCACATTGTGGGTATATACTGAAGCACTGAGACTGTATGTGGTTTGCCAGACATGTTTCACATTGTTCCCTTCTCCCCCCAATTAAAATAAGTCCTTGAAATTACTTAAATCAATGACCAAGAGAGGCACAAATACAAACACACAGCTCACAAATTCTTCAATGACCACAAATTCCCCACTAATATATGCCATCTTAAAAGGCTGTTAGTTGCGAAGTTTTATCTAGTAGCCCAAGTGTTGTTCAGGATTATTAGCAAAAATTAACATTATAAAGCACCACACCCTGTCAATAAGAGACAGCACCTTCACCACATTCAGAACGTGCTCTCCCCTGAAGTTCACTGTGGGTTGCTCTTTTAAATCATTAGACGATTGTATAGAAAGGAGAAGAAACATGGAGAATATCTGGTGTTCAAGAAAACAAAAGCTYGAAAGGTGAATATTTACTGTGACACCAAGAGCTGCTTAATTTACTCCTCTAGTGACATGCAAGAGGAGCTGGRGTGCAGCTCTTCCCACAGACAGCAGCTGCCTTCCAGCAAGGGTGCCAGCAATGGTCAGCTGTCCAGCTCTGGCAGGAACCAGGCTCTGCACTGCTTACCTGGCACTGCTTTTCCCTTGGCTCAGCTGAGGACAAAGGCAGCCCCTTGGATTCCAGTGTTATTTCWGTTGATAAGCTTTAGCAAGGAGAATTCCTCCCTCCACACCCTCAGGACTCCCTTCCCAACAAATTAGCAGAGCAGGATTGGGATCTTAATTGGGCAATGCCGCGGTGTTTTCCCCAGGCTGCCCACAGCTTCCCCGGCAGCTGCCCAAGCAGGGCTGGCAGAAATGGATCCCCCAGACCCTCCCGCAGAGGGCASGTCTGGCCACCAGCTGCCACACTACCCAGAGATCCCAGCCCAGAGGGACTGGGCTGCCCTGGATCATCCCCAAGAGCCCAGAGGCTGAGCACACACCTGCCACCACACAGCAGGCTGCTGGCTCGCTCGCAGCACAGCTCCCTGTGCTCACCCCCCGGTGCCACAATCCCCACTGCGTTTGGGGGTGTGTGATAGGAGTGCTCAGCTAAGAGACACCCAGGGCTAATGCAGAGGAAGAACTTCCAAGATGGATCTGCTTCAGGAACGAATTTGGGGTGAGGTTACTCAGCCTTGAGTCAGCCCCTGTGGGCATGCACAGAAAGAGAGCATCCTGAAAAATTTATGATTAAAACATAAAGTCACATTGGATTTAGCTACTTCCAGGCTTASGTAGCAAGCAGGACAGGTTTTTGGAAAAGGCAGCCTTCAGGCCTCTGTACCCCAAATGCTGCAGCAGCCAACAACTGCAGGAGCCTGCAGCGGCCCCAGTGGGCACTGGCACAGCTGAAGATCAACTGTGTGTTTTCAGCAATGCACTTAGCTTGACTGCAGCAATCCGCTCTCAGGTTTCCTCTGCATTCCTTTGACATTATCCCCCAACACGCTGTTATTGAACTCCAAGACAGATCATTTGAAATGGTGTTTTTCTTTTTTTCCTTTTTTTTTTTAAATTTCTGCCCTTCATCAGGATCTGTGAAACACCATGGATATTGCTGATCGCTGCTAAACCGTTCTTGGGCAAACTTCCAGTGTCAAAGTGAAGCTGATTTCAAGCTCATATTCACTGAAGAACATATGGGAAACATCAGCACTTCAAAATAAGAAATCACGKTATCTTTCTCCATTTTAAACTGAACTCCTAATGTCCTCAATGTTGTTTAGATTTTGCAACCAAGCCAAGTATTTTAGTTGTCACTCTGCTCTTAAATGCCACTTGTAGCCATAAATATGGTTCTTCTTCATTATTAAAGGGCCCTTTGTTTTAAGGAATATTTATATATTAAAGCATTAGGGATTCTTATGAGCCCATCATAAAGTGCAAAGCAAAAACCCTATCAGACAAAGTCAGCCAGAAAGTTGCATTTACGACATGGTTGCTACAYAGAATTGTTACTCACTTTAAACAGWTTAGGTAGGGCAAGCCAGGTCTATTTTTTAAGAAATCTTGATGTTAGACAATAGCTGCCTCAGCTGGCTGGGACAGTTCCCTGAGAGGAGCAACCCCAAGCAGGTGACTCTGAAACAATGAAGCTCCATGGCTCTGCCAGACCCTGTCAGCACAGGTTCCACATACACAAACGCCTTCCTGGCATTAACGCACAGGGGTTACAACAGAAAGCAAAAATTACATCATTAAGGATTAGCATTCAAGGACTTCTCAAGTTTTTAGCCACTGGATTTAAGACAGACTGGACTCTGGACTCTTTCCACATTTGCCTTGCCAGAGCTTGGTGAGGCTGGGGATGCTCAGCTGCTGCTGGGCCAGTGTACCAGCGGACAGGAGCACTCACTTTCACAAGGGTTATTGACTGAATTTTAGTTATATTTATCCCTATAACTTTTGGCACCAGACAAGACATAAATTCCACGATCCTCAATTGGCACCTCAAGCTGCCTCGGGAAGCTTGATGTTATTCCCCTTCCAGAATTTGTGTTTGCTTGTATATAAAACAATTATTTGGCCCATACCCATGTGAGTTTACTGAGCTCCTGGCACCATTTCCTTCAACAGCCTGTTTAAGAGAGGTTTAAGCATCCACAGCCACAGGAAACAATGGAGCAGAGACCTCAGCAGGGTCTATAAATGGTTAAGGCTCSCCATAGCTTGTGCTGAAGGGCACAGGTGGACAGTGAAGCTGGAGTCCTGCTGGCAGGGAAGCCTGGCCACTCTACCTGGGAATCCCACACTTCTCCTCTTATGTGGCTCTGGGAACATGTCCAGGGCATGGCAGGGCAGCAGGATCATGGCTTGTTGGGGGTGGAAATACACACTATTAAAGCTGCTCCAGTACTGATGCTCAGCTTAAATAAAGATAGAGARCTGCACTGCAATTCCAGTTATGTGMGGGTGATGTGGGTTTAATGGATACAGCATTTCACAGGTGGCRCGCACACTACGCATTACTGTGTCATGGTAATTATCCCATTTTCTTTTTAAGCAGCACATAAAATAGTCACATAAAGTTTGTGTAAATGTCATGCAGGAAAGTTAGGACTATTTGCAGCAAGCATGCTGTATCTGTGCCTGGTTTTGGAAAGCCTCAGTTCCTCCCCTCTGCGGGCTCCTATGGCACTTGCTATGCCCTGCTCGCTTGGATGTGTCACCTTCTCTAACTTTGCAAAAAATAAAGAAGAGAATGAGCAGGTGATCAGGAATGACAGGCCTCAATAAAGTTTATAACTAGAGCTTGAAGGTCACCAGTGGCCACAAAGCGGTGAATGGTATTAAAGAATCATCCTTTTTTATCCATTAATTAGTTGAAATAAAGTCACCATTTACCACCTGCTTCATACTCTTTTTCTAATCTGGCAACTAGGCTTTTATTTAATCACTTTGATCAAAGTGCTTTTATCAAAGCACTTCAGGTAAAACCCCTACCAAAAGGGCTCCCCTCARCCTTTGAGTTGGTGTTGGCAGTGGCAGCACTGATGGTGGGGGCCCTGTGCAAAGGGGCTGTGCCTGTTCCCAGGGCAAACTCCCACTGCCCATCCCAACAAAGAGCACCAGGAGCTYGCAGGATTACAGAATTAGGGTGTCTGTTATCCTGCAGCTATGGAGCCAGGGCATGACACAAACAAACGGGGTGGCAGCTTAAGAGCTGAGGTTTTAGGGGTAAAGAGTGACTGGATTGCAGATTTTTGCCATATCCTGGCTTCTCCCTGCCTTTTTTGGGTAGTTYCTGTATTAACCATTTGTTCCAGGTTACAGCAGCACAGCACAAAGCAGCTCCCATCCCCTAATGCTGGCAGAGCACACTCGAGGCAAYGCCACAGTTTTTTGATCACCATCTGCCTTTTGGTGCAAAGGGAACGTAACAGAGRCTTCTCAGGACAGAGCTGGTGATGACAGGCGTGCAATTGGTAACGAATGGCCCTGTCCCATGGAAGGACACTCTCAGCAACAATGAGATGGCTGAGTCTGAATGAGTGCCTGGATTAAGGGAACAACAAGAGGTGACTCTCAAGCAYGGCAGGGCAACCTCAGCCTTCCCTTTTTCTATAGGCCAAAGAATGATACCCCTTCCCCTCTCCTACCCCTCTTCCTCCTTCATCAATGTCTTCTTGATGCGATTCTTCCAAACAGCTTTTGACAAAACAAGAGGAAAAGGTCACAGCAGTTAACGTCCTCCTCAACGTGATCCTGYTTGAAGCAATGCACTTTCAGAAATTCCAAGATTAATTACTTCAGACTCCCTAGTTTAAACTATTGTGTCATGCCAAAAAATATATCTGCAGTAGCCATCCTACAACGTGCTTCTTGACTGGCCATGCTTGGYTCAATGAAGACCTGAAGTTTTGTGCTCAGAATAAAAYWTTAAAARTATGTTTACATTGACCATACTGTTTTACTGCACGTTATTGCTACAGCCAATAATACCAAGTGTATTTGCCACTAAAAGCCTGAAGACCTCTACAGTCTTGATACAGAAATGCTGAGATCCCAGAGGGCTCCTCTGAAGGTCAACATGACAGAAACAACCGGAGACAAAGGGACGGAAGACAGCTTGCCTTGACATAGTGGCAAGGCAAGGTCTGGAGAAAAAATCCCTGCGCACCTGAATAGTTCCCTCCTGCAGGCTGTACATTTGCCTATTTAAAATTAAATTACATTTATCTAAAATCTGTRCTGCGTCCATCACATCAGCCACTTACACAGATACCTCCAGCACTGGAGAAAGCAGCGGGATGTGAGTGCCAAGGCTTGCACCTGATGGGCTTCAGGCACACCAGCTTCCCCTCTAACACTTGGAAAATCCTAACTCTTGAAGACTTGTGTCTTGTTCTCTAAATTCCCACACAACCACAGGTACAACACATTCCTAAATCATTAGCCAGGGAACTGTCTTTCTAGGTACTGTTTATGCAGAGGATTATGTTTTGGAGGGAGGAGGAAGGATGAAGGAGAAACAGGTCTCTCTTCAGGGTTAACAGTAAAGAAAATTTTCCAAAGTTACACATGCCACAATACCAAAAGGTGCCCTTTTTACTGAAATCCACAAAGTGTAAGGACTTATTTTGAGAAGTATGCTCATCTTCCACAGCACACCTCTGTAGGTGTGCTGGGGCTGTCTGGTGACTGCACCAGACTACCCAGTAAGTTCAATTTTACAACAATAAGGTCAGGGCCATATTTTATCCCCCTCTTCCTGTCAATTACAGTAAAAACAAGAATAGAAAATGCATTAGTAGGAGAACAATGATGTTAAAAATACATACCAGTATATCCAGGCAGGCTGCTTTGAGTAGAGTTATTTGGTCTGCAATGGTCAAACTTGTAAAGCCTGGCAATCGCTTTGCAAATTCCACTATTTTAATAATGCACTTTGTTGCAAGTTCACTGAATTTGTCCCAAAGCCCAAGGTCCAGTCGAACCCGATGGTCTGCACTGGAGTTCTGTAAAGACAGACAGAAGACATTATAAATCAACAACGTCCTTTCAGTAAACGRTTTTCAAGGGAAGGAAACAACTACCACGTTTTCCTTCCAGAAGTACTTTCTATTAACATTCCAGGCATTTTCTGCAGCTTGCTGTTGGGATGATGCTGGTTTTAAACTTGGATTAATCGCCTGAAAATTCCTTGGATATTTCTCTTTTACTTATGATTGCAGAGGCCATCTGTACAAGGAATACAAATGAACTTAAACATTTCCAAATGCCACCCTCATTATTCTTCCTTGCCATTATATAATAAGTGCATTGAGAAAGACAATTTACAGTTGTACCCCAGAAAATATAAATGAACAGTGGAACAAGAATATTGAGTCCTCAGCTGGAAAAAGCAGCACAATATTTGGAACACAGTTTCACATACTTAAGGTCTTAGAAAATTAGTTCTGCTTAATTTCTCTGCTCTGCAGCTCTGCCACAGCTTTCTGAAGCTACAGTCTCCCATGGCTTATAGAGCATTTATTTACATGATGATAAGGAAAACCCCATGTGCCTTGATGAATGCTATGTGCTCATTTGATGGTGCGTCGAACATACATCCCACTGTTGGAARTCTAACAAGGACATTCTGGTGGCATTTTTCAGAGGCTGTTTCTGTATATTCCCCACCTCAATCAAAATGCCCATCATTTTACAGASTGCATAGGAAACTTGTGTTAAGTTTGTGATCAAACTCACATTTTCATACATTTGGAACAACCACCTAACCCTTGAAAACGCTGAGTGTGTCAGCCAAGACACGTCTGACTCAAAAAACCTGCTGTGACCCATTTGATGCCAGCCCACCAACACTGGGTGTCATGAGGAGACCTGGTGAGTCCATTCCATTCCAATCCACTCAGGATTCCTATAGAGTGACAAGGAACAGGTCATGACAGWGCTCTGAAATCCCCAAAGCTTCTCTCCTCCTGTTCTCACATGCAGTGTAGTGCCAGCATTTGATACGATGCTATTTAGGATGCAGCCAGCTTGATAGGGGATTGGAGGACACCATTTCAGAAGCCACCAAGTTTAGTGTGCATTGCAGTTGCCTTCAGCGTTTGGGTGATCTCCTCTTCATTGCAGAAGGAATTTTACCTGCAAAAASAGGCCATGGCTTTCTCCCCTGGCTGCAGAGGAAGCCAATGTGATCAGCTGCCTCAGTCTTAGCTGGTTGAAGTTAAAATGTTAAATTAACTTTAAAATTAAAGTTAAATGAGCAGAGTCTCAACCTAAAATCTAACAGACATGGCAGATTAAACAGCCATCAAAAAGCATTCAAATAACACAGATTCACATTTGCTTGGAGGAAACATTTCCAGTGAGCCTGCCATCACCACTGCTGATGGTGAGGCCATCCACCTCCTTGAAAACGAGTGAAGCCATTATCTTGTCAGCTTTCTTTGGTTGACAGGAAGGAGGAGACTGACAAGGGAATGTGGAGTGAGCTCAGCTTGGCTGTGATGCCCTGGACCCCATCCCAATGCTGCCTTTGCAAGATACCACCACCACCGTCAGTCACGAAGGGGAAAGTGCTGATGGTTCCCCAGGGCTCTGCCAGCCTGACATTCACCCTCACTTGGAACAGGGATACTTACATTAGGCCCTAACTGCATAATATAAACTCYAACTGCATMATATAAACTCTAACTGTACTGAGCAGTCTGAAGGAGCACACATGCTCTTTCCTGCTACCCCTCTCTTTAAGGAATAATTAATTAATTTCATCATTTCTATTTGAATTTTTATTCTGGGAACTTCCTCTATTTTGTAGGGTTTGGTTTTTTTTAATGACAGAAGAAAGATAGAAGAAAATGTCTTTATAATGCTAAACCCTAAAGAATCGCTTTCAAAATGGTCCAAAACTAATGGGTTAACAGTCATTGTAATGCCCTTTGAAACATTTCTTTTGGCTACTGGAGTATGCATCCTTCAGATTTATTTTATTTCATCCTCAAGGACCTTGGTGAAATACAGTACATTGGAGGAAAAATAAGATCAAGATGTGCAGTCATTCAGGCTGTAATTAAATTTAATAGGCAGTTTATCCAGTTCATAGAAAGATGGCATAGCAGAGAGCTACACAAAGCAGAGCCTAAAGCAGGAAATCATTTTACAATAGGGTATCCATCTGGAAAAAAAGACGTTGCATGAAACCAGCAAGTGTGAACGAAATCTTCATCAGTATCATATGAGGTTACTTTATCATGCTGCAGTGCYAGCCATGGGAAGTTTGACGTGTCTTCCATTAGGAGTAATGCACASCCGTCGTAACAAATGTAAATCTAACTCTCTATTATGCAAACTGAAGAGAAGGGGCAGTTAATAAAATACAAAATAWCCAGGTGTTTTATTATGCTGGGTGCCAGATTCCTCAGCATTGGAGCTAATGTGGTTTACACATTGAGATGCTATAAATGGAAAGAGTTTTAATATTCTGTCTGTTAATGAATATCAACACAAGTGTTACAGGAACAAGAGCTGGATTTTTAGCAGCATTTCTCAGTATCTAAAACCCAAAACTGACTCAATATCAATATATACATCGAACAATAAAACATGGGGTTAAAACAATGCACAATAGAAACAGAAACTCTGATTAAATTTGCCTGGAGATCTCCTCTACCCATGCTGTGAAAAAGATGCAGACGTGATGACTTTTCCTGAATATTTTACCAAAGCAGGTTTTTGGGTGTCTTTTCCAGGAGCAGTCTCACATGTTTTTCAGGCCTATGCACAGTGCACATATGGTGGAACAATACTGTAATACACCCTAGTGGCATCTTTATCAGTGGAAAAGCCCAACCTTGCTATGAAATCCAATTAAACAGCCATTTTTGCCACATAAATTGATCCCATTTTTTCCATCATTTTTGTTTTTCCATTGCAGGCTGCTCTGTCTCCACATTAACTATACAGGATGAGGTACTAGTAGAAACATACACAGCAGCAGAATCCCTACTGTCTTTAAAATCCACTTTACAAAGGAAAAAAGCCTCACAGGGGCATTCTGCCCTAATCAGGAACACTCGTGATGCCTCTTTAGTAAAAGCAGCAATGCACTCCAGCTCCATCGACTTYACTGAGGACCATGGCACATGCCCCTGCTCAGTCCCAGAATCAGAAGACATATATAATATATATATGTCTATTTACACATATATTCCTCTGCAATGGCACAGAACAATAACCGTGTAACTTCTAAGCCCAGCACTTAAAAAGAACAAAATGCTGCCAAGATGTGGAACCTCTTCACTTCCAGCCAGTCAAGAGCAACCCAGGAGAATATGCAGCATAAGGGTCTGCAGAGCCAAAATTGTTTTTTGTTTTATCCTCCCTTTATCACAAGGCTGGATGTAACACAGCTGTAGACTTACAAATAATACCACTCTCAAGGGACAAGCAGTGTAGTTACACTCAATTATACTATAAAGTATGACATCTCCAGAGAAATTACTAAGGCACTCACTCTCTTACCTGGATGACAGTAATAAAACAGATCTGTTTATGACAGACTTTTGGAATCTGTTCCATTTAAACAGCTTGCTGATTCTCATCACTGGTAGAACTGTACTTGTCACTGCCCACCAAAAGGAACTGTTAAGTCAAATGACCCAGGRAATTTAATGTGAGTGCTATTCTCCCATTATTTCAAGTAGACTTCTATTAATTATGCAAACTATGAGGCCACTTTTTCTTGTTAAGGAACAGATGGATATAAAAAAAAACATAATTGAAAATGCTTCTCCAAAGCCATTTTTAACAGGTAAAAACACAAACTGGGGGGGCGGGGGGAATCATCATGTAACCTTTCCTTCTGGGAAATGCAGACTGCAGAGCTCAAGACAGAGAGGAGCCAGATATACAAGGCAAACCCCAGAACAGATTTTTTTTTTACTGTATCTCTGTAAGGTCTTTCTAGTTTACACTCTTAAAATCCTTTGCTCTTTTTAGCAACAAAAAAAATCTTCTTTTAAAACAATCTGAATGATCACGTAACTGAAGGCACACAGGGGCTGCTCTTGCAGAACCGTTTTGTCCATCCACCATCCCTGTCAGTATACAAGTGCAAGGCTCACAAAATTCAAGGGAATCCACATTGGTTAAAAAGACTCACTTCTCACCTCTCACTTAGAGAATGAAATAAAAAACTCTACAGTTATAAAAGCAATCTGCGTGCTCCGTAGTGTGAGCACACCATGCTTCATGACTGACAGAACGCAGAACCAGGCAAAAAAAGCAGGACTGAGGACAATCTTCTACCTGTACTAGATTGTTACTACCAAGAAAAGCTGAGCTGCACAGGYTTCTAGCTCCCCTTGGACTCAGCACTTAGAAAGATGGCAATGTGCTCCTGTGTGCTCCTGTGTTTTCTGAGTTCTGGTCTGCTCAAGGGTCTCAGGCTGTTGCCAGAGCCCTGCTGTTTGTCCAGCAGCTGCTGGAGGTGTCCAAGCACKGGAGCTGTGCTCCTCTGGCCAGCACACAGCTTCCACATCCCAGATCCACCTATACTATCAGCACTACAGAAAGGCTTCTACCCTGCCCCTGGGCTGATGGGCAGCTGGAGGGGAAGATGACCCTTATTCCAGCCCCAGTGCTACTCTGTCCTTCCCACATGAGCTCTTGACGCTGAAGTCCTACATAAAATGTTGGAGTGACTGCCAGACCTGACTTAAATATGAGATTTAAATACTCTGCATTTTCCACAGAGACTATGGGAATTCAGTTAGAAGACAGTATTTAGCACCACTGCTATTAAGTTTTTGACGCAGCTTTCGAAGGAAGCTGCAYTGCTCTCAAAGGTTCAAGGTAAGCCAAAAATAACTCTTTCAGTATCATTTTGTTATTGCAATTTGTACAGTACCAAACCATGACAAAGCAGGAGGGAGCTCAGACCCGTGCTGTGGACTTCCAACAGACCTATGCTAAAAACAAGAAATCTCCTTCCCTGAGCTGTCCCATCGGGCCTGAGATATGAATGACCAATATCAGCYTCAGAGAGAGTGTGGTCAGGTCATGGCCACTCGTGCTCCACAGACAGACCAGATTCATATGTTTGTTACTGATCCAGGTGCTCTCACTAAGGGCTCTGAAATTCCAACAGGACATAAACTCACCGTGGGGTACAGAAGGAACCTAAGGACAAGGCATCAGYAGTGGGTGTGATATGCAAGAAGACCCTCTCCAATTTCATCCACTTGTATAATTTCAGGATCTAAAATATTAATGATAGTTCAGCATCCAATACCTAATGCAAGCACAGAGCTGCCCAGGTTTATCTTTCAGCCCTCCAGGATCTTTGGCARCTACCAGGATGTACCATCCCACCAGCAACAGTGCACTCTGCTAACTCCAAGGTAAAGTGGGAGCATGTACCAACGTGTTCCTGCTGGGAAGGACCAGAGAAGCCTGTGGAGGACAGGCTCCTTCTCCAGTTCACATGGGGCTCAGAATTAAAAGTGAGAAGTGTTTATGAAAATACATCTAGCAACATGAAAAACATGCCTTCTTCTAACATCACACCATATGTGCTTGCTTTTCTTGCACTTAAATACCAAACCTTACACTTAGACTTCAGAGTTTGAGCCTTGCACTTTGTTTTGTAAACAGATTAATATGACACAAAAAAGCACCCTGCTCGCCAAAACAGTGAATATTGATGGCACACAGGGATTTGCCTACATCACTCTGGGAAATTTAATGTTTGTTTCAATAGCAGAAAATWTACTCAAAACACAGAGCAATTCATTGATAGGAGTATTTCACCTTGCTTGTGGGGACTGATCCCAGATCTTCAAATGGGGCTGGAGAGGCAGATGTCTCCTTGCCCCAGCCAYGTCACCCCTGAACTCCTGCTCTTGGCAATGAAAGCACATGCTTGACTACCTCAGGACATACTGTGTGTCCCTCAGAAACAGCCAGTGCTGCTGCAACCAACAGCAAAGCCATTCCTATACTGATAAGGCTCTAAACATTACCTAACAGTTATTTTCTATCATCWCTTTTATTATTACATTTGCAAACTTGACATTGAATTTTCTTCAGTCAGTTAGTATCATTGAGGTTCCCTGTATTTAACAATATATATGTATGTATAGAAGAAAATTATTTCCCTGACTCATCTCTGGAAAAATTCCTGCAGTACTGAGCTTCTTGATGGGAGGGCTGATTTTTTATTTATAAAAGCAGCAGAAGTTTTTGCTGCTATGTGATATTTTGGTAGACTAGGAAAGGATGTGTAATTTTTGGGGTTGTCATGTGCAGAGCCAGGAGCTGAACTCAAGGATCCTTGTGGGTCCCTTCCAACTCAGGATATTCTATGATTCTAGGAATAAACTGCAAATGAACATTTTGGAAACTGTTTTACTTAAACATTTCATATTTTCCTTGACCTTGGTAGCTTTGGGACTATCACCAGTAATCCAGCAGCATTTAAGAACTCCCTACACCTGCAAAGCTGTAATCCGCTGACGCACAAGCAGAGATCACATCTTTGGAAGCCAACAAATTTCTAATGAATGATGGAATGTAACTGACTCATGGTCTCRGAGCTGGTCATTTGGCAGGATTAATCCTCCACGAGTCTCTTGCGATACCGCTAAGTAGCGCTCACATCTAAGTGCAGCTTCTCTCTCCAGCAGGCAGCGTTTGCACACACAACTCTGGTTTTTCCTGGCTAAGGAGGTGCAAAGAGTGCATCTACTGCTCCATCTACTTAAAATGTCCAGAGCCTATAAAACTCATCCTGGCATATCCAGAAAGCCACGTGCCTCAAACCATACTCACCGTAGTGTATTTTCCCAGCTGGCAGAGTGAGGGGAAGGTTTCCTGGTGAGCTTTTCGGATCTTCTCAGTGAGATCATCTAACTCTGCTGTCATTTCATAGTTTTCTGTGGACTCTTGCTTTGAAGGTTCCTTCTTCTTTTTGTTCCTATCATTTCTGACAGCTGTACAAAAAGCAGAGATATAGATCATACAGGGTTATTCAGATCAACTTACGTTGCTTTTGTTGCTCTATTAGAAAACACTGTAAAATGATGTTATTTTAAATATTATTGTGGGTGAATATAAAAATGTTATATGCACAGAAAACACTAATTTCAGCTTACTTATTTAAAAATAATTTAAGAACTAAATGTAATCAGCACTGATGAAACCAAACTTCCACAGTGTATAATTTTTGGGGTTGTCATGTGCAGAGCCAGGAGTTGAACTCAATGATTCTTGTGGGTCCCTTCCAACTCAGGATATTCTATGCTATCTATATATATATATATTCTATGATATTCTAGATACTATCCCATAGTATCTGCCTTCCAGGAAAGTCTACTGCAACTTCATGTGCACGGTGTYTTAATAACTTTGTGAGGTAGGATTTTTTTTACTGTAGCACTGCAGCTGTGCATGGTGGATGGTGAAGTCCTCTGCAGTGACACAGTCGCACTTCCATTGGATGCAAACAAAGCTAAAAAGGCAGAAACTGTCTTTCTTCTTAAGTACCTCAGCATGGAAGATAACAAAGCCCCACACTAATACAAACTCTACCGAACAAAAGTTATTTAAAAGGAMAGTTAAATGTGAAAACAGTAAATGAAAGAAGATGAAACACGTTAAACTCAAGCTCTGAAGATCAAAGGAGAAGCACAAACATTTGAAAGAATAAAAATGGCAGTGAAGCTATCTAAAGTTGCTTGCCATCTGCTTCTGCACTCAGATCAGCCTTCTACCTTCCCCCGGCCGTGGGGGATTACTGGAAATATGCATCGTGCGCACTCGTGCTGTAATTGATTTCCCACATATTTGTGTTTTGTAATAAAATATGACAGCTGCTCCATCACCATGCTGCTCTTTGTTCTTTTAATGAAAATAGCTTAATTTTACAAAATGTGCCCAGGAGATAAGTCCATGTCCACAGTATTGCCAGTAATTGTGAATTTTATCAAGGGGCTTGCTGTTAGCTAAAGCTAACGTCTTAAGTGTAACCAGATGCATAAGGCTTTACAACAAAGCCAAGCAAAATCAATCCCTCTCCCCAAAGACTCCATGTCAATATTAAACACCCTGAAGACTAMATGTTACTGGATAAATAAAACCAATCCTAACATCGTTAGCATTCAAAACCTCACGATATTTAAAACACGGCCCWAAACACAGAGGGTGTAGCTGGTGGGTTTGGCACATGTGAGCATGGCCGGGGATTTTGGACAGCCAGAGATCTGCTGATTCTTATTTGTATGTTCTGCCCCAGAAAGTGCATCTCTCTGTGCCATAGGGAGGGAAGCACAGAGACACCTCTGTGCCAGCTCTTTTTCCCTGTGGTTTCCCCAGGCCCATCTCCACGTCTTCTGTGGTTGCTTCCTATGWGCCAGTGAACCACAAATCATCACAAAGAGCAGAAAAAATAGTGGGCTGGGAAAGCATCAGAGTCAGGGGCATTTTACAGAAATAACATGTTGAGTGTAGTAAAAAACAAGCAGTAGAGATGTGTTGCATTGCTCCTCCTTCACAGGGCCATTAGGCACATACTCCATGCAATGCACAGCTCTGGTTTTGTCACTAAAGGTCTGACTTTGCAATTGTCAGAACTCTGACAGTGAGCATTCATTCACATTTTAAGCATGAACTTGATGTGTGACAGACCCGCACTGACATCAGTCATGTGCTCAGCTGGATCAGGGCTGAGATGCTGAGTACCCCACTGGATTAAAGCCTAACCATGAACACCACCAATTTTGGTGTTTGGAGAACACAGACCCAAAGGAGGCCTGCAAGAGTGGACCAAAAATGTTCCTTCTTGCAAAGGTACAATGCTGCCAGTGTACTCAGGTTTAGAGGGATGGACTGGATCCCTCCAATTCCTTTTAAAAATTCTCCCTTCAATCAAATGCTCTGATTTGTTTGCTGGACCCCAGGGCAGAGCACAAGCAGTGAAAAAACATCCAGAACCCACAGGTACRTCTTGAGTGCTGCAAATTGTCACTGCATTTCAGAAACAAATCCTAATCACTGCTGTACTCGGGAGATAAAAGAGCTCCTTAGAAAACTCTGTAAACTCCTACACAACCGCAAAGAGCAATAAACCTTCATCACAAAGCCCCACTTACTTATAGCTCTACAAGCTGATTGACAAATTTGCCAAGAAGGCGACCTCAGCAGCTACCTTCCCTCAGCAGCTTTGAACTCCTCGGGGAAGATGAACGTGTTATTTGGGCCAGGTTTTGAAACAGGTGCCAAGGGCTCCCAGAGACCGGGAGATAACTCTGACAGGAACTCTGCCATGATCCTGTGCTACCCCAGCACTGCTCCTTCTGCAGCTGTACCTGAGGTCCCCTTCCCTGAAAGGGTCACCAGARGGACAGCTGCTGATCAACCCTCATCACCAAATTGGTCCAGCTTTGTGTAAATCAAAGGGGAGAAAGGGGGAAAGTAACACATCCTGAAAACTAAGAACAGTTTTTGTTCCTCATTAACTTCCTTGTATGATTCTGAYAGCTTTTATAATAATGATAAAACCAGAATAATGCTTGTCTTCTTGCTTTATTCCGTAAGGCTGCAGCAGACATGTCAGTGTTTCTATATACCCTGTAAGATTATGGATTAACATGCTGACGTATAGCACTCGGGCACCAAAAATAAAAAGTATTTCAATAACACTGAACTATGGGGAAGATTTAACTACAGCTATAATTCAATGAAAAAAAAAAAAAAAAAAACAAAAAAAAAAAAAAAAAAAAGAGAGAGAGAGAGCAAGATTAAGACAACACTATGTTTAAAAGAGTTAAATAAAAATATATAAACATACACACATTTACGCAGTAAATTTAAAAACCATCACTGCTCTGGGAACAGGAACTGTCACACCGCATGTGGGAAGGGTTTTGGATTACAGCTTCTGCTTATATTACATAAATCACACCTTTTGGTATCTTGATCTTTACATGCATATGATCACATCAATCCCCGATGCAATTCCACTGCCTTTTAATGATGATACACCAGTGATGAATCTGTGTCACAGTTAATGCTGCCGTRGAAAACTCAGGTTATGAATTTCATTACTTGTGCACTAAATTCTGACTTGATGGCTGCATTAATTAGGAGCTCCCAACAGGGGACAGTATGGAAGCTCTCTTGCCCTATGAGAACTCCTGGAAGTTAAAAAACCTTAAAGAAAAATAAATAAGGTGGTGGTGTGGGGAAATAGAATGGAAAAAGGTGTATCTTGATATGTGAGGAAGCCAGGGCTTGGCRCTTCTCAGACGGCTGAGCGACACACGCCCACACCTGTGCACGTCTGCTCCAATCCATCTTCCCGTGACAGCTTCCCTGTCCCCTTGACACACACGCCAGGACTTGCACTTCCACACCCAGAAACCTCCAGGCAGCCACACAGGGTTCTCAAGCTGGCAAAGGCATTTTCTGTTGCCTTAAGAACCAGCCCTTACCTTCAAACGTTTAGCCTCCTCCCTGATCATAGAGGGGCAGAATACAACTTCTTGTCCTGTTCAGTCTCACCCCAAATTTGCTGTGGCTTTTTCCTTTGCATTAAATACACCTCCCCTCTTCTGCTTGAAGTGATGGACAGGATATAAAAGTTGCATGAGGGTCAGATGTATTTTTCAACGAAAGCAGGGTCTGCTGTAGATTAAACTAAGTATAGGGAAGACACAAATGGCTTTTTTTTGAGAACCCCAGTGCTTTCATTTAGTAAYCACGCAGCAATTCTCCTGCCTGAGCGGGGGCATTTCAAGCATGTCGTAATGCAGGGAATCATCCGGTCTTAAGTGCAAGCCCCTCAAGGTCTGCCAAATTTAGCCACTGCTTGGCCTAAGAATAGTCTGGGATATAGCCCATGAGATGTAGACAGTTTCTAGACAATCAGGTAAAATCATGGAATAGTGAGTATTTGTACATTCCTTTGTCAAGGGTGGCCCAAACATGTCCAAGGGAGAAGAACTTTCAATCTGCAATGCAATTTTTCCTATTACTTGAACAACCTGTGTTTCCCCAGGTATCCAGAAGATACACATACAACTCCTTTCATGTATTATAATGATTAATCAGCTATAAATTCATGATTTGAAATGCTATCACTGCAGTTTTGCCTYTTGGAGATCCCCGTGACCTTTGAAGAGCTCTGTGTACTAGTTAGCTGGTTTTGTTCCTGTAGCAACAACTACTAGTGCTTCCAGTCAGTTTGCATTCCTGTAAAACCACACTTCTCTTGTCCCCAAATATTTTGGAAGTTACTCGTTAAGCTAACAAACCTCAAAAGTACCATAAAGCACACAGAGCAAGTCAGTAATTGCACAGTGCTGGGCACAAGGTCGGTTTGCAAAAAGACTCCTTTTGTTTGTAAAACCCAATGAGAAATGAAGTGGGAGGTGAACTGAGGTAGGAACGCTGCAGACCTGCCAGTTCTCCCTTCTGGGCAGAGCTCACTGTCCCGTCTGTCCTCCTGCTCCTTGGGAAGCCACCTGCCCCTGTCTGAACACCAGGCAGCCCGGGCAGGCTGACGGTGCCACACGCGGCCGCGGAGCTGACACTCAGCACTGCAGCCGGGAAATCCAGGAGCACCGAGCTGYTTGTTAGGGTGGAAACCCACAAACCTTGCACAGCTCCTCCAYGCTCTTGCTTTTTCAGTTCCAGTGGCAGCTGCTAAAAATGTTCTAATTCTGGCAGAAGTTAGCAGCTGTGGACAATTTCAGTCAAATACGCAAAATGCTCACCTACTGCCAATGCCAAGTTTGCTCCACAGATTAAACCCACAACATATACCAGAGTACTCTTGAATAAACTGTGCTAATGGTACGGAATTGCAGTTTATGAGGATGTCTTTCCTAACAGACCCTTGGAAAACCAAGGGAGACTTAGCAACCCTGATACTGCTGCTGCTGCTCCACTAGGTTCTCTGATCCCATTGTCAAATGCAGCACCCAGCTGCAAA